CCTGCGGCCAGCCTCGAGTGAGGCTGGAGGTGGCCTCTAATGGCTGGGATTTCGAAATTTCCCCGGGTCTTTTCAAGAGCCATGCACATTCCTGATTATGTCATTTAAAAAGAAAATCAGGAGCCAGGCTGTGGTGGCGCACGCCTTTAATCCCAGCACTTGGGAGGCAGAGGCAGGCGGATTTCTGAGTTCGAGGCCAGCTTGGTCTACAGAGTGAGTTCCAGGACAGCCAGGGCTACACAGAGAAACCCTGTCTCAAAAAACCAAATAAATAAATAAATAAATAAATAAATAAATAAATAAATAAAATAAAATAAAATTCAGGGCCATGGATGGCTCACTGGGTAAAAGTGACTGGTGTTGTGAACCTGACCGTCACCCATGTTTGATCCTTGGTACCCGTGGTAGAAGGAGAGACCCAATTCCCAAAAGCTGTCCTCCGAGCTCCATGCGGTTGTGTGGAGTGTGCATGCATTCATACAAAAAACCATGTGCATGTACATACAACAATAAGTAAAAACTGGCTCTTCGGTGTTTAGGGTATGTCTAGAACTCAGGCTTACTGCTCAGCTCACACCTGTTCTGCATCTTCCTGTGAGAAACTTTGCTGTTGGATTCTAAGATCCAAAACCAGGGACCCGCTCGCACAGAAACTCACAGACTGGACTCGCTGCAGTCAACATGAGGTTTGGTTTAATGACACTAGTGCACTAGGATTCTCTCACATTCAGGCAAGAGAGCCCCGAAAAAGAGCTGAGTACAGTACTTATATAGAATTCATGAGGACAAACCACAAAGTCTGACCTTTCCGGGTTCAATCTCTAGGTGACTCAGATTATGACAAGGAGTGTCTTCCTTTTTCCAAGTTTATGTAAGGGCTCAGCTTCCTGATTCCTGGAATGTACTGGCTCTGGGCCCTCCTTACCCGCAGGTGGGTTCCGTTCCCTGTGGTCTGAGGAATGTTAATCAACCTCTCCCTTCTTCCTCTGAATGTTAATCCAGCTAGTGTCCTCTGACTAAGGAATGTGCCCCTCCTGGGATGTGTCCTGGGACAGTGGGATTCTTTTAATCTTAAATTCAAACTGAGACCTTACATTGCTAAGTCTTACATTGCTAATAATCTTATTGTCAGAAACGGAGGGGGTGGGGCTGAGGATGTAGCCCATTTGGCAGAGTGCTTGGCTACTCTGCACCTCTCAGAGCCTTAATACGGAGAGGTTTAAAGCCAGCCTGAGTGACAAGAGACTGTGAGGGACTCCCCACCCCGTGCCCCCAACTGACACCACAAGCTTTCTTCTTCATAGTTTCTTTTTAAAAATTTACTTTATTGTTGTTGTTCTATAGCTGTTCTCAAGTTAGGGATGAGAACTGAGGTGACTTTGGCCATTTGTGATGGCCAAGCTGGCTTTGTGGAAAACAGCTGAGTACAGTTGTTTCCTATCTCCCTGTTTTTGTGTGACTGAATAGAAGGGCTTTTGTTTACTGTCTCCTCCTCCCAGGACAGGGTTTGCATCTGAGGCTCCATTCTCTCTCTGACTGTCCATCTTCAAAAGAGGAGGGTGCTTCTTTGCTGTGCTCATCTGCGAGCCCCTGCGCCTGGAGGAGTCGGAGACTTGTGTGTGCTTGGAGTGCTCTGGGGTTGGTGGGCCACAGCCACAGAGGCCAGTGGCTCGGTCCTTAAAGGTCCTCCTTGCTATACTGTGAGCCGCGCTGTGTATCCTGGAGTACATCCCTTCTTTTGGGAAAGTTCCACTTGGGTCTGGTGGGAATCAGGAACAGACTGTCCGCTTCCAGAATCATTTCAGCAGATCTCCCACACCCCTGAAGTTTATTTCTCCTGGCATTGCAACCAAAGCCATTGCAGGCATTTGTTTGTGAGTTAGCCTTGCTATGTAACCACAGCTAGCCTGGCACTCACTTTGTAGCCCAGGCTGGCCTCACATTTGTGGCTCTTCTTCTACTTCAGCCTCCCGAGTGTCCGGATGACAGGCGTATACCACTGTATTATTTATTGCAGGAATTACTGATTTTTATAAAATATATTTCTAGATTCATTTTATTTTATGAAATAAAAGTGTGTTTTGTCTTTACATATGTGTGCGTGCATGCATCATGTGCATGCTTGGTGCACATGCAGGTCAGAAGATAGCATCCAATCCCCATAAACTTCGTGTTTGTGACTGGCTGTGAACCACCATGTGGCTGCTGGGACTCAAACCTGGCTCCTCTGTGAGAGCAGCCAGTGCTTTTTCCCACTGAGCCATCTCACCAGTTCTAAGGTTACTATTATTTTACATTAGTAATTACAGTTACTTATTGTTTGTGGGAGGAATGTGCAGGGGAGATGTGTGTATGGTGCTTGTGTACAGCTCAGAGGACAACTTGTGGGTCTTGGTTTTCTCCTTCCACCATGTGGGTCTCAGGATCCAGCTCAGGTTTGCTGGCTTGGCTGCAGGTGTATTTACTTGATTTTGAACAATAGATTGGTTTCTGAGCACAGGTTTGGTCTATTTGGTTCTCAGTGTTAGAAGTTGTGCGGGGCGCACGCGTGTAGTCCTCTCGCCGGCGAAAAACATACACACACGCGCGCACACACACACATCACACACACGCCAGAATCCTTCCGTATGAAC